GATGAGGCTGACTGGGAGGATGAAGAATGGGAGGAGTGGGAGGAAGAGGAAGAGGAAGAGGAAGAGTGTGAAGACGACGAGGTTAGGGAAGAAACCGTCCCCGAAACTCCTCCACCCCCGAAGGCAGCCGACACCAGCGAACGCGAATGGTGGGGGACACGCCAGCCAGCACCCTGGACAGCGTGGCCAGCTCGGTCTTGAGCCAGGTTTATGTTCCGTTCGACTTTGGGCAGCCGCCTCCCCGGCCCCTCAAATTCTCTCGTGACTTCAAGATCTCCAAGCGCCTCTCTGCTTCCCTTCGCCACGATAAAGGAGATTTCAACCTGGACTTCAGGAGGAACATGACGGCACCTTTGAGCCAGCTGTTGGCCCACCGCATCATGACGGAAGTGGGGGTCACCCAAGAAGAAATCATAGCGGCGGTGTATCACAATGAGAAGCAAAGATTTCGCCTGCTCTGGGAATGCGGTCCAGAAGGAGTCTATGAGCTGCTGATTGGTGCCGTTCAGGGGCACTCGATGGCAGTCGACAATGCCTCGGTGCATCGCAGGGTTGACCCGGCCAAGGTCCCCTATCTCACCCATGCGACCCACTATGATTTTTACCGCAATATCGCCCGAGACGGCCTCAGAGCGGGTGGTGCGGCCGGCAAGGCCCACCGTGCACAGGTGCACTGTCTCCCCGACTGCAAGAACAGCGAGCAGTTCTACCCGGACAAGGCCGACGTGATCCTTCGCATCAACCCGGCCCTAGCGAACTGCACATGGTACATGTCAGCCAACGGGTATTACCTGACTGATGATACGGTACCCCCGGAGTCAATTGTGGCGGTCATCATTAGAGCCACAGGGGAAGTGGTCCTGCCCACAGATGGTAAGGCGCCCCCACCTAAGGCAGATGTTTTGAAGGGAGTGCTGAAGGCCCACCTTTCCAGCCGTGCCTCGACCCAAGGAGGCCGTAGTTCGGCCCCACCTCGCAAGAATCGAGCTAATGCGTCGCATCGTCGAGCATACATGGCCGCCCTGCTTCCTGTCGCTTCTTTTCAATGGGTTTACGCTGAAGTTTCGCCTGCCCCTAGTATTTTGCTTTGTCTGCTGCTCCTGCAGGACACACTGGACCAACGATTGGCCCCCATCACAGAGGAAGCCGCTCATCACAGGCAGGGAGGGATATGCCAGCAGCAACTGCACTTCATGCCGACCCTCGAAGAGAGATGGTCGTTTCTGATGCACTGGAACCCCGACGCTGCGCCTCTCATACCTCTTAGGGCCCCAGTTACTAGCAGCGAGCGCAGATTCACTGCAGCCACTATCATGGCCTCGCCTTCGGACTCCTCTAGACTCTACTCCCCCAGCGAAGCGGAGGAGCCTGGCGGTTCGGATGACGATGAAGCATGGTTGGCCCCTACTCCGGAGGACTTTCCTCCCAATCTAGAACTAAGCCCCCTTCCCAACAGCGCGTGGTCGGAAGATGAAGCATGGAGGGAGTCCTCCCCGGAGGCCCCTGCTTCGATAGCAGCTGGAAATGGAAGAGCAGAGCCCGGTACGCCGCTAGGCCAGTTACTCCAGCGAGTCCCACAAAGCCAGGACTATCCGCCACAGATCCTGCGCACACTGCAGATTCTTGACAAAGGACGACCTAAGCAGACTAGGTCACCTCAGCAAGCTCCCACTATGCGACCCCAGCCCTGGGAAGTCACGGAAGCGCGATTAAGCTTGGATCTGCAAGACCCGAAGACTACGAGGGAGCCGGCATGCTCGGCCCCTAAACCAAGTAGGGCCCCACATCTCTTGGGAAGCCCATCAAGTCAAGCTGACAGTTCCTCCAGCACAAATGGAGCGGCTTCCTCCTCGGCAACTGGACCCTGTCCCTCACCGAGTCGGACAGCTCAGCACAGCCTGGCGCTCGCAACAGAGCATGACTTTGGTTGGATCGGAGAGCCTCTTCCTGCTCTTCCAGAACATCCTCCTGCTCGGCAGTTTGAGGCCCCTCATGATATAAGACATCCGCCACGTCGCAAGGCATGCGCAAAGATGCTCGTTAGGGCAGGCCTCCGTTGCAGTCGTTGCTTCCAGCGGCTAAAGGACGAGTGCCATTGCCACGCGGAGGAAAACGGCCTTCACCTGGAACTTATTCCCAGCTCAGTAGCCACCTTCGCATGGAGCCGCACTGCCAATCCGGTCAGGTTATACTCCCCCCTGGCACCAAATCCTACAGGCAGGCAGGATTCTTGGCAACAGCAACCGTCCATTAGTTCGCCTCTGCCTGCAGGTACCATGGCCCGGACGGGCGCACAGCAACCAGAGCTACCAGGACCGGA